TTTTTACCCAAAACTAATCAAATCTGCGCATTAGTTTGAAGCATCTGTGTGCCAAGTTTCATCAAAATCCAATGAGTGGTTCTTTAGATATCAGTGGAACAGTCATGGAACAGCTAAAAATCAGCTAATTATCATGCAAATTAGGTAATTAATATGCATGGATTTTTACCAAAATCTGCGCATTGGCCCAGAGCATCTATGCACCAAGTTTCATCAAAAACTGATGTATGGTTCTTGAGATATCAGTGGAACAGACGGACGGACACATACACACACACACACACACCACCCACACATACCCACACACACATACAGACACACTAACTGCAAATACTCCCTTTTTGTGCTTCGCACACGGGAGTCAAAAAGTTGACACGAACGATGAGTCACTCAAAGTCGACAGCAGAGCTAAAAATATATAAACTTATCCACAATTTATCTAATTTTTATTTTATTGTTTGTTGCTATATACTTAAAAAGAAAAATGTATTTCTATTATTATTAGTGCTATCATAATTTTGAATGGTTGCAACTAAATTGTTAACCCGACTTTAGATCGCCAGCCAGGCATAGTTTACATTGTTTTACCATTGGCCTAATACATAGTCATCCAGCATTCCCCTTAACCCTTTTCCGATCAGGGGATTTTCAGGCTAACAGGTTAAGTCGGTGAAAAACGGTCATGATTCAATGCACTCCAGTCGCCAGCATCGGTGCATGCTATCCTGCCAGACATTTTTGCAAAAATAGGCCATAGTTAACAGACTGTATCAACCTCAGTTTTCACATTTTTTGCAATCTGTTCGCATACACACTTCATTACCACCATGGACAACAATTTCTCGTATACACATTTTTTACTGTGGTTAAATAGCGATGTTCTGCCCTTTGTACAGTCTCAATAAACATGTGTTAAACATTGAAATAAATATTGCTTAATTGAAAACACATTACGAGCAAGTACAAGGTCACTACATGAATGCAAGTTCGAAGTAAGAAGAAACAAGTCATTGTCAATGACACGTCCCCGTTCCGTTCATATTTGAGTGACATATACATTCAAAGCAGATCATGACCGAAATGCACCTGTATATGTACACATTGTACTAAATCTGAACAAAATCCATCCATGCATGACAGATCCAGTTCCGGAATTGTGAAAATACGTGATTTTGATGCATTTTCAGCCTTAAAATGGCCATCATTCAGCTAATCATGAAACAAATGCACATATCTATTTGTGACATGATGTACATTGTACCATGTGTGTGTGAAGATTGAACTTGATCAATCCAGACATGTCTCGGATACGGATCCAGAACTGAATTCTTTAAAACAAAATGGCCACCAGTCGGCCATTTCGAACTTGATCGAAAAAAAAAAATGACGTGCACCAAGGTCCTATTATGTTTAATGTATGTACCAAATTTGAACAAAATCCGTCCATGCATAACTGAGATCCAGGTCCGGAATGGTGAAAATGTGCGATTTCAATGCATTTTCGGCCTTAAAGCGGCCGCCATTTGGCTATCGTTAATGAGATCATGAAACAAATGCACATACATATTTGTGACATGATGTACCTTGTGTGTGTGAAGTTTGAACTCGATCAATCCAGGCATGTCTCAGATACGGATCCAGAACTGAATTCTTTAAAACAAAATGGCCGCCAGTCGGCCATTTCAAACCCGATCCAGAAAAAAAATGACGTGCATCAAGGTTCTATTATGTTTAATGTATGTACCAAATTTGAACGAAATCCGTCCATGCATAACTGAGATCCGGGTCCGGAATGGTGAAAATGTGCGATTTTGATGCATTTTCGGCCTTAAAATGGCCGCTATTCGGCTATCGTTAATCGGATCATGAAAAAAATGCATGTGCATATGTGTGATGTATGAGTGAAGTTTGAACTTAATCGGTCCATGCATGTTCGAGATACGCACAGACGGACACAGGGCAAAACATAAGTCCCCGTTTTCGGACTACGTCCAAACGGGGACTAATAAAACGTGTGAGTATGGGGATATTTGGGACATGTACGGGGGAAAACGTGTTTGACGTACTCGACCTGACAGCGTACATTTCAAATTGCAATGTATATTCAACGACTTGAACTACATGTGTAACATATTACAACGTACTTTCTGTGACTTGACTGATGTTATATTCAAGCTCTAACGTATATTAACCGACTTGACCGTACGAGTAAGCCCACACTTACAACGTATATTTAACGACTCAAACTGAGACTGAAACGAACAAGAACGTAACTGCAACGACTTGATCGGGGTTACCTTCACACAGCAACGTATATTCACCGACATGACCCGATTAACTAACTAAATATTTCTACGTATATTTAATGACTTGAAATAAAACGAACTAGCGAGAACGTAACTGCAGGGACTTGGCGTGTATATATACTCAAGCAGAAACGTATTTCCACCGACTTGACCCGATGAACTATCCTGACAATAAAACCTATAAATACCGATTGAGCATGAAACTAAATTAATGATAACATTTGCTAAAACTACCGACCATGTACACTTTCTTGTCTTGTAATTCAAGGGCTGTGTTAACTGAGGTAAAAAGCGAATCACAGAAAATATGGTTTTTTTCTGTGAAGGGCTGTACCCTCATTGGTAGTTTTATATTTCACTCCCAAATACGGTTCAAAGTTCGCAATGTAAGACGACGACGAGTCGCACACCTGTCATATTTTGAAGCCATCACGATTGGGTTTGTGGGGCAATCTCTGCTTAAACATGGACCTTCCCTTGAATCTCACCATACCCTCGTCAATCGAAATTTCCTGTCCCATCTGATAATATTGCCGACAATTTTCGAGTACGGGTTTCAGCCACGGATTGATTTTATACAACGGATCGGCCTCTGATCGTTGACGACGATGTTCAATGTCAGATCCCGCCATGGGTCATTTACTGGATCAGCTAAATGGAAATAACGCATTAAGATTTGAAATCTGGCCCGAGTCATTACTGATGCTATTCCCATGTTCTGCAGGAAGGGTCACTC